CCTGAAAGTGCAGAACGCTGCTGAGAGAAGCTGGAGATGGGCTCCTCGAGGGCCTGAGGAACTCCCCACTGTTTGGATGTCCGTTCTTCCCAGACTGGTGAAAACTCAACACAATTCCAGTCAGACCCCCAGCAGGAATTCTGGGGACACTGACATCTGTTTTCTCCATGTCTGTGAAAAGGCAAAGCAGGATAGGTGAGGATAAAGTGGGTGGGGAGGTCGCCGCTACAGTGGTCAGGATGGTGTGGAATTAGCACACGAGTAGGAAGATGGACCAGCGGGATGGGAGAGAGTCCAGACACAGCTCTGCACACGTGCTTATTCAACAAGTGGTGAAACTAACATGGTGGCAAAAGGGCGCTTTTTTCCTAGTGAACGATGCTAGACGATGCTGGATATCTGTAAGGGAAAAAATTAGCTCTACCTCAACTAGATATAAGTTAATTTGAGATTGACCTTAGTGTGCCAGCTAAAACAGTAAATGTCGAAGAAAACGGGAAGATGTCTTCATGGCCTTGGTGAGGGCATGAAAAGTAGGGATATTCTGTAAACAGGATACAGAAACATGTAGCACAAAAGAAAAGATGGATGGATTGTATCCACTTTAGTCTCCAAGTCTCTGGGGCTTGCTGAATTTTGCATGCACTGATGCCAACTCACACACTGGCATCAGGAACGCTGTCTGGGTTACTGTCCAGCTTCCCCACTCTTACCTTGTCGCCGCTCTGTGCCCAGCTTTCTGTGCACCTTTGACTGTTTAGGTGTGATCCTCACTCCGGCCTCCCTGTCCCCTCAGTGTATGTGCTGTGTGCCACTGGGCTGTCTCCTCTTCCCCTTGCTGCCACCCCTCTCATTTCTTTCTGTACCTGTCTTGATCCTCCCTGTCCATCTCTGCCTTCTTTTTAAAGATTTTATTTATTTATTTTTAAACAAAGGGGAGGGAGGGAGGGAGAAAGAGAGAGGGAAACATCAGTGTGTGGTTGCCTCATGCACCTCCCACTGGGGACCTGGCCCGCCACCCAGGCGTGTGCCCTGACCGGGAATGGAAACAGTGACCCTTGTGTTCGCAGGCCGGCACTCAGCCCACTGAGCCACACCAGCCAGGGCCCATCTCTGCTTTTATTTATTTATTTGTTTATTTATTTATCTTTAGAGGGGAAGGGAAGGAAAGAAGGAGAGAAATATCAATGTATGGTTGCCTCTCATGCGTCCCCTGCTGGGAACTGGCCTGCAACCCAGGCGTGTGCCCTGACTGGGATCTGCTTTCTGTTCGTTCTTTTTTTCTCTGTAGGTCTCTGGATCCATTCGTTCGGTTTTACCATAAAAATTATTTTTATAAGCAAAAGTATAGCGTTCTCATTGCACTGTTTATTTCTACTCCTTTTAGTTAGCAATTGTTAATAATTAGAAGTTTTCCTTTTTTTTTTTCTCCACTCATATTTGTAAACAAAATTAGGTCATACTGGCTAATTTTTATATATCAAATCTTTTTTAGCTTTCTGATTTGATGTCCTTGACCCTGGGTCTGTTTTGCTCTGTTTTTCTTGATATCCTTTGTCTGGGCCTTTCTCCCTGTGTCTCATGTCTGGGTTTCCTCAAATAACCTCTTCTCTGTGCCTCCTGGTGACTCTGAAAGCACATTTCCTCCCACCTGCTGGCCGCCCCACTCAGTCCAGCTCTCCCTTTCTTTGCAGGGCATGCCACCGATGACGCAGGCGCCCCGCATCATGCACCACATGCCGGGCCAGCCCCCCTACATGCCACCCCCCGGCATGATCCCACCTCCAGGCCTCGCGCCTGGCCAGATCCCACCGGGGGCCATGCCACCACAGCAGCTTATGCCAGGCCAGATGCCACCTGCTCAGCCGGTGAGTGTGTAGTCCCCTGGGATCTCATAAACAGTTGGAACATGGGAACTGAAGGGGAGTGGTTGGGATACTGTTTTAGGTTGGGTGGTCCGGGCAGGCCTTCCTTAGGAGGTGCTATTGGGCGAGAAAGATGAGGCCCTGGGGCAGCTGTGATTGGCATGTTTGTTGGAGGAGCTTTGGAAGGTCGGGGTGAGGCTGGACCAGAGGCCAGCACCTTGATTCATATTCATTGAACTTCTGCCAAGCAGCCGCTTCTGGGTGCAGCAGCGCTGTCATGCGGCTCACAGTCTAGAGGGGGCAGAGTGGGGTAAGACAGGCAGCACCGCAGGGCGGGGAGGGGCTAGGAAGGAATCGAGCAGGGTTGCAGGGGGGAACAAGAAGGCCGCAGCTACCCTTCTGGACTCATGGGCTCCTATCTCTTTCCCACAGCTTTCAGAAAACCCGCCAAATCACATCTTGTTCCTCACCAATCTGCCAGAGGAGACCAATGAGCTGATGCTCTCCATGCTTTTCAACCAGTAAGTGGGGCTGGGGCCAGAGGGCGATGGTCAGGAGGTGGCACCATGGGGACAGGCCTCAGAATTCTGCTGGTGGAGCCTGGCTCCTTCTAAGGCTTTGCAGGCAAAAAAGGAGGAGGCTGAGGCCAGATCCCACAGCCCACGGGGTGTGGAGGTGACGAGGCTGGGGGTTAGCAGTGGCCAGGGCATATGTGCCATCCTCCACCTTCATGGGGGTAGGGCTGGAGAGATTCTGGGTCTCATCTTCCTCGTCTGTAGGATCCAAAATACGTGTAAAAGAAGACTTACGTGATCTCATCGAATACTGGCCAGACTAGTAAAGTCAGCACACTGAAAGAGCAAGTGTGGGAGATGGAGAGGTTGGAGCCCCGTACGTTGCTGATGGCGCGCACACCCTATGGGCATTGTGCCAGGGTACTTACTGTTCACTGCTTAGTGAGTTAGGGGTGTGCTTTCACCTGTTTGCTCTGCTTCTGATTGTGTACCCTAGAGAAATATATAGTTTTTCAATACAAAATGTGTTTCCGGGGATGGTTGCCCACTCACCTTGATTCAGGTGCTTTAAGTGCTGCTTCCTGCTCGAGGAGTATCCTTTGCCAGCCTGGCTGTTCCTCCTGGAGGCCGACAGGACAGTGGAGCAGCCAACACACAAAACCACCGTCTGTGCACGGCTGACAGCGGTGGTGATTTTACAGTGTCCTGGGCTTTCTCACCCATGAAGTAGGAACCAGGGCTCTGCAGTGGGTGCTTCTCATGTCTCCTCTTCTCTTCTGGGGAGGGAAGAAGGAGGTCCTTTGTGAGCTACATGTTGTCATGGGGAGGTCGTTATTACCAGAAAGGCACTAAAGAATTTATTCGGGTCAGGGGAGAAGTCAAAGGGTGATGCTCCCCGCAGTGCCTGTGTGCAGTGAGGAGGAACAGAGTGCCCCAGGCGTGGCGTAATAGTACTGAGAGGAAACTTGAGAAACTGGGTAAAAAAAATACGAGGTCTGCCCAGAAAGTATCCAGCCACTTAATATGAAAAATAGTGGCATTTATTGAAGAAGATTCAAGAAACATTGTACATAGGACAATGACACCTTAGTCCCCTTCAAAGTAGACACGTTGGGACCTCACACAGTTCTTCCAATTGCTATCAGCTGCCCTGTATTATTTTCCTGAACCTCACAAACAGTCTGAAATCTCCCCGCTTTTAAAGGTGATTTTAGTTTTGGGAGAAGCCAGAAGTCACAGGGCACCAAATCTGGGCTGTAGTGGGGCTGAGTCACCTGGATGATTTGATGTTTCACTGAGAGACTACATGAGACGTCATGTGTGAGCATGTGTGTTGTGTTGAAGCTGCCAATCACCAGTTGCCCATAGCTGTGACCTTCTGAATCAGCTGAATAGTTTCCTTGGAGGAATGTTCAAGCTTAATGCATAATTTGATGGAAATTTGTTCTACTCAGTCATTTTGAATGCAGCAGCCACACAGTACACATGCTCATTCAATGGCGTCTACCGCCGCCACTGACTAGTACGGTGAAGTCATCATTGTTCACGCATGCACATTCCAGTCCACTCTCCTTGGCTGCCAGGTTACATCAATGTTTCACAACTAGTTCTCGTTATATTAACAATGGCTGGACTTTATCCAAACAGACCTCATAATACCACACATTTACCATGTCCACAGAACAAAACATTTTGTAAGGACACTGATGGAAAAAAAGGATACCCAGTCAAGATGAGGGTGGTTGCCTAGTAGCTAGGGAATGTACTAGGGAATGAGAAGAGGGAGATGAAAGAAAAGGCAGATTCTAAAAAGGTAGTGGTGGTTTCTGGAGCAGAGGTAGGTGGGTTACAGTGGGGGCAGTAGGTGGGGGGGAGAGCAGTGTTTGGTAGCTTGACCTAAGTTATGGTTTGTGGGTAACTGTGTTAAAACCTCTCATTAAGTGATGTGTTCATACTGTACGTACTTGTTTCTGTTAGGGCTTCTCAGCGTAGCAGTACATACATTCTGGGCCAGGTAATTCTTCGTTAGTGTGGGCGTCCTCTGCTTTGTAGGATGTTTAGCAAACATCCTGTCCACCAGATGCCACAATGTCAGAGGGAAGTGCTGACTCTAAATCTCTGTGGTCTGTCCCTTCTTTCAGGTTCCCTGGCTTCAAGGAGGTCCGGCTGGTCCCAGGGCGGCATGACATCGCCTTTGTGGAGTTTGACAATGAGGTTCAGGCAGGGGCAGCTCGTGACGCCCTACAGGGCTTCAAGATCACCCAGAACAACGCCATGAAGATCTCTTTTGCCAAGAAGTAGCGCCTTTTCCCCATGCCTGCCCCCTCTCCCCTATTTGGGACCTCCCCTCTTTCCCTTGGCTCGGCCCCCCGAAGGTAAGTCCCCCTTCTTTGGGGCCGCCTTGGAGCCGCGCATGTGTGAGTGAGTGGTCACACAGCATTGTACCCAGAGTCTGCCCCCAGACATTGCACCTGGCGCTGTTAGGTTGGAATTAAAGTGGTTTTTATGTTTGTTTTTTTGATGTTTGATTTTCTACAACCATTTGTCGTTTTTATTTTCTTGTTCCCTATGGTTCTCTTTTCTGCATATCAGAATATCTTGAATTTTCGAACCTCTCAACCTTGGGAAAACAGAGTATGTAGTAATATTGTCCAAGCCGAAGTCACCTTTACTACTTCAGCAGATTTCTGTTTTCACTCAGTCAGCATTCACTGTGGCAAAGTGAAACCCAGGCTGCCTTGGACAGTTGGGCAGTTTCTCTGTTATACAAGGATGCTACCTTGAATGGCACACCATTCACTTCGTGGACTCGCATGTTTATTCCAATAATTGTCTAACATAGAGTGTTAAGGAGGAGATTTCCCTTCACTTGTTTCTAATCCTCACAAAAGTACCTTCAGTTATAGCAACAGTCCCATAGCAACCATTCTAGGTACTTCAGGGGGAAGGAAGAGGATTGGGTGTTCATGAAATCGTTGGAAGGGTAGTAGGAACAGCACTCTGGATTTGGGACACTTGAGTTCAGGTTTGTAACTCCTGACTGAGCTTCGATCTATAGTTCAGGAAGGTGCTGCTGCTAACAGGAGGCCCAAATTCATTTGCTCACACATGGGAAGGTACTGACCAGACACTAGTAAACGAGTGTGGCCACTTCCATCACAGCTGACCTCTCTTGCCTGCTGCCACCAGCCAGAAGACCCAAATTCATCTTCAGTGCTTTAGTTGCGGGGAAGCCTGGGAAATGTAGTTTTGGGCTAGATAATTATGTGTCCAGTTAAAGCTATGGATAAGGGTAGATGGAACACAGGACCTTCCTTAGCCATCTGTCACACGCCTAATTGGAGAATTTTATATTACCTAATACCTTTTCTCGCACCATATGGATGGGAAAGTTCGATTGCCAGAAGTAGAAAATTAACCACAAAAAGTAAGACATAGTGTTTAGCACTGGCTGGTGTGGCTCAATGGATTGAGTCCTGGCCTGTGAACCAAAGGGTCACTGGTTTGATTCCCAGTCAGGGCACATGCCTGGGTTGTGTGCCGGGTCCCTAGTAGGGGGCTTGTGAAAGGCAACCACACGTTGATGTTTCTCCCTTCCCCACCTCTAAAAGTAAATAAAATCTAAAAATATACCAGAGAAACACCCCGACTCTCTTACTCTGTGTTACAGACTCTGGATGCTTTTTCCTGCCAAGCCTAAGTGTAAGCCTGTCCCTGCTGTGCTCCTCCAGTAGAGGAGCATCCGTGAAATGAGACCTGTAGAACCAAATGCAGACTTTTCCCCTGTAAGATCTGAAAGATTGGAAGCAGGAAGGGTTGCCCTTTCCACTAAAATACATGGTGTTATTGCAGATGGCACGTGCAAACATCCTGCCCACCACACTGGTTCTGAGGTCAGCTGATCTTGGTCTCTGCTGTCTCCATAGGGGGCTCCCTAGCTGTTCTCTCACCCACTCACTCATTTTTTTCCTGTGTAAAGAAAAACCTATGTTAGTACTATGGTCTTGTTTGTCCTGTCACTCCTCCCCGCATACGCCCCTACTGCCAGGCACTTAGCAGGCACTCAGTTCAGCAGACCTCTTATATGCTAAATATTGTTCTTGCATAGGATACACAGTGGTGAAGAGACAAGCTAATTTCAAATACTGTGTTCTGATACAACCAAAACTGATTCTGTGGAGTGATGGGAGGATAAGGCTAGGCAACTGACTGGATGATCCAGAAAGACCCTTCAGAGTAATTGACGTTTGAGTAGAGCTGTTTAACATTCTCCTGGTACTTGGTGCTGGGTGTGGGTATGTAGAGATGGCTTATATGTCCCTTTATGAGTTCTTCCCCTCCCCAAACCTGTGTGTGTTCATTCTCTTCCCCTCTAAAAAATTTTGGACTTACTATCCCAGAGGCAAGAATGCCTGGAAAAAGGTGGATGCTCAGGAGAAGGATCTCAGCCTGTGGCATTCTCTTTGAAGCAGTTTTAGAGGTGAGACTTGAATTCAAACCTCCCCCATTCTCATTCTGACCTTGGGCAACTGAACTCCGAGCTCAGTGTGGGCCTGGAACCAAATCTAGCCGCTCCACTTCTGGCTTCGTAACCTTGCACGACTTCCTTAAGGCTCTGCTTCCATTTCCACATATAATGGGGTTATGTTAGTCCCTCTTGAGGTGATGCAAAGTGTTTATTTGAGTTAATAAAATAAAAATCCATAATAAAAATGATGACTACTCTGTAAATAGCGATTAGCTTTTATTATCCCTATTTTATAGATGAGAAAGGTGAGGCTCCAAGAGGAGAATATAGCTTAGCCCAGGTCAGTTGGTCAGGAAGTGGCTGGTTGAGGATAAATAGTGGTCGTGGCAGGGTATCACCTAGCCTGAGGTCCAACATACAACATTCACTCAGTATTTGAGAGCCGGGGTTATTCCTGGCATTCAAAGGGCTGCCTGTTCTGTCCCTTAGCACAGGAAATACCAAGCCAGGTAACTGAGAAGATGGAATTAAATATCAGCCTGCCTGTCTGGGCCTCACTAATTCTTGAGGGGGTAGCCGTCACTTGGAGTGGCCTGAGCAGCTTTGGTTCTATCTGGGCATTTCCTTGGGTGGGTAGCCCTTACCCTGTCCTCGAAATGGTTCAGGCTGGGTAGCAACCTCTATGTGGTGTGGGCAAAATATGGGACTGGTTTAGGGCGGGGACAAGACCGAGAACACAGGTTTCCTTGTATAGCTGGAAAGAGGGAGGGCAGGAGGAAATTGGAGACCCCATTTCTGCCTTAGTCACTGTTGCTCATAGTCCATGATGACTTGGTCCAGGGTGTTCCTCGCTGTCATCTTGCTGTCTGCCTTACCAGGGCCTAGTATCGGGGGCCGCCCCATGCCCAAGCTTGCTGACCGGAAGCTGTGTGCTGATGAGGAATGCAGCTGTAAGAGTTGGGGGCTGGGGGAGCTGGGGGCTTGGGCTGCCAGCCTTTTTGGAGGACGCTGTCATTCCCGTCTATTCTTCTCCAGACCCCATCTCCATTGCTGTGGCCCTTCAGGACTACGTGGCCCCCGACTGCCGTTTCCTGACCGTACATAGGGGCCAAGTTGTGTATGTCTTCTCCAAGCTGAAGGGCCGGGGTCGGCTCTTCTGGGGAGGCAGTGTGAGTTTTGGGAGAGCAGAAAAGAGTATGGGATAGAGTGGGAGTACACCCTAACTTTCTGCCTAAGGGGAAAATTAGAGAGGGTGAACTGAAATAGAGTTTGGGGTGCTACTGTGATGTGTTTTCACTTTGTTTACCAATAATTATAGGGCACCTCCTATGGTACCTAGTTCTGTTTTAGACACCAAAGATACAATATTAAATAATCCCTTTTATCCTAATGGAAGAAGACAAGCCATCAAAGATATCAGCAAATGTGCTGCTCTGAAAATTAATGTAGTGTGACTGGGTGACACTATCACGTGGTCAGGGAAGCCTCTGAACAAGTAATGTTAAGCTGAGATGTAACTGACAAAGATGAGCCAGCCTTGTGGAGATCAGGGAGAAGAGCTAGTTTAAAGGTCTAAGGCAGGCAGGAGCTTTCGATCTTCCCGAGACCCTGGCTTTTAACCATTTCCCCCCTAGGTTCAGGGAGATTACTATGGAGACCTGGCTGCTCGCCTGGGCTTTTTCCCCAGTAGCATTGTACGGGAGGACCAGATCCTGAAACCTGGGAAAATCGACGTGAAGACAGATGTGAGTGTGTGTGTGTGTGTGTGTGTGTGTGGTGGGGGGGGGGTGGCAGGGATATGGAGGGAGGACCCCTGGGTTTGGTGATAGACAAAGAGGCTCCTACCCTTGGCTCCCTGGCAGCCTAGCTGTGTGCACTGGGACAAGTTCTCTGCATCAGTTTTCTCATCTGCAAAATGGGACGTGATTTCTAAGTTTTGCTGCAGTTGAGAGGTATAAGATTAGAGGATTCTGGGCTATTTTGCATAGAGATTATGTGGCCAAACCTGGCCCGTGCAGCTGCAGTCTTTGCTAAAGCCAACTAGGTCCTTTGTGGTATGACCGCTGGTTTTGTCCCCACTGTTTTCCTTTTCTCTTTTCCAGAAATGGGATTTCTACTGTCAGTGAGCTCAGCCTAACGCTGTCCCTGCTGTTTTTTTCTCCCAGTTTTATGCAAATACATCAGCCAAATACAAACTGCAAGTCTCTGTGGTCTTTGTGGTGGAAATCTATAAAGGAAATGGGTCCCCGGGTTCCTGCATTAGCCAATGAACCCACAGATGGTGAAAACATCAATAGTTGCTAGGTAGAATTTCACTGACTAAAAGCCCTTTGCTCTAACCTGAGTTCCCGAGGTGGGCTCTAAACACACAAGCAAATGGAAAGATGCAATAATCTGAACAGCACAGTAGGGGACTGTGATGTCTAGAAGACCAAAGGAAGACAGTGGAACTATTGGGAATAAGCCAGTCGGATCATGAGGAAGACAACTCACGGAGCAAAAATTTTCTTGAAAGATTATCTGCAAAGGAAGGTGGGAGGTTGTTAAACTGAGTGTATCACCTCAATTTTCATCCATCCTGCCTTTGAGGTCAGAAATCGCTCTCATTGAAAAAAAAAAAAAAAAAAAGAAATCGCTCTCATTGGGCTCTTCATCAGTTCTGCTCATACCTCCTTTCTTTGCATCCGTATCCCCGCCCCCAGGTCCGCTACTACCCAATGTGGAGTGTCCACTCTGTCCCCGGATTCCAGACCAAATCCGTTTCTCTGCTCTGTTAAGCGTCTCTGCACCGCCTCTTCCCACTTGCTCCGCCAGTTGCTTACCTTGGTCCCGCCCCTTTCTGCGGGTCCCTCACACCGCCAATCTGCGCCTTTTGTCCCACCCCCTGGCCACTGAGTCCTCCAATCCCTGCCTTTGCGAAGCGTGGCCGGGTATCCCGCAGGCCTAGCGGGTAGTGCCAGGGACGGGTGGAGGCGGAAGTGGCGGCACCGGCCCGGGAGTAGGAAGGAGCCGGGGCTGCAGCCGGAGTGGAGCGGCTGCTAGCTGAGGAGCAGGCGCGGCCGCGGCGCCATATTGCGGCCCTAAGCGGCCGCGACCAAGTCATGGCCGAAACCTATGGTGAGGGTGGCAGGCCGAAGCTGAGGTGTGGGATCTGGTGTCTGGGCCCGGGAAGGATGCGGCCTGTGGAGATGGGGCGGGACTTTATGTCAGGGGGCGGGGTCTGGTATTATGGGGTAGGGCCCGGTGGATGCTGGGAGGGGCTTAATGGGTCTGATGCTGAACTGAATCGATTTTGGCGGAGACTGAGGGTCTGGTTGTGGGTTTAATAGTTTGGGGCGGGATTTGAAGAAGTCAGTCATGGATCAGGGTAGGCATTGAGGAAGAGGGTGGGACTTAATATGTCGGGGCGGAGCCTGAGTGGATGGGGCGGGGCTGACTGAATGGCAGAACTGGAATTTTATGGGTTGAGGGATGCTTGAAGGGATGATCTGGACTCTGGGACTGCAGTGGTTTGGGAGGTCCGGAAGAGGTTGGGGATTAGTTGTCCTTGAATTAGAGGGTGGGACTAGTGGCAACGGCAAGGGGTGGGGCTTAAGCTTGAGAATTGGAACAGGGCCTTGGATAGAAGGAGGGGAAGGAGTGATTTAGAATTGGAAAATCAGGATGGATGGATAGGAGGTGAAGGACAGGTTGCGGTAGAAAGAGCACTGGTTTAGCAGTCAGTCAGAGGGACCTACATTCATTCAGAAAATAGAGAAAAGCATAGGGAACAAATACAAAGACCCTGAGGTGGGAACCAACTTGTCATCTTCAGGGAGTAAACTGAAAGCTAGAGGCTAGAGTGGAGTAAATGAGTCAGAGTGGTAGGAGGTGAAGTTGTGAGGGGGCAAGGGCAAGATTGTAGTCCTTTTTAAAAAAAGTTATTGTTCGATTACAGTTGTCCGCATTTATCCCCTTTGTAGTTCTTGATAAAAGGCCTTAGCAATGTAATAGCTAAGATCTTGGACTCGAGCCAGTTGGCCTGGGTTTGAATTCCAGCTTTGCCTAGCTGTGGGACCTTGGGCAAGTCAGTTAACTTTTCTGGCCTCAGTTTCCTCATCTGAAAAATGAGAATAATAATCAGTGCATCTCCCTCATTGAGTTTCCCTGAGGATTAAGTGAGCTACTGATGTAGGTAAAGAACTTTAGAACTATGGCTGGTAAATTGTAAGCATTATATAAGAATTATCTGTTACTGTTCGTTACGTACTGCTTTGTTTCTGCCGGTGTCTGTTTCTTTCCCTGTAACTCTAATGGCCTCTTGGTTTCCATATTTTCTCTTATATCTTTCTCTTTGCCTGGGTCTTCCTGATTTTGGCTCCATTTGCTCAGACTTCCTCTTCAAATTCCTGGTGATTGGCAGTGCAGGAACTGGCAAATCATGTCTTCTTCATCAGTTCATTGAGAATAAATGTGAGTGTCTGGGAGTGATCCTGGGAGCACTGAACTGTGGGCATGGGCAAGGTGTGGGCAAGTGGGCAGTGGTTGGGGTGGGCAGGGGCAAGGCTGGCTGTAGGTACAACTCCAGTGCTGGATGCCTGATTCTTGCCATGGTGTATGCTCTATGCCAGATCCTCCTTGAGCCTCAGTCACCCCAGCAATGAGAATGGGGTTGTGTAGAGTGAGGAGGCCTCGGAGGACAGGAAATCCCCTGAGCCTCTGTACTGCCTCTTTTCGCCCTCCCACTCCCAGTCAAACAGGACTCCAACCACACAATCGGTGTGGAATTCGGATCTCGGGTAGTCAGTGTGGGAGGGAAGACTGTGAAACTACAGATTTGGGACACAGCTGGCCAGGAGCGGTTTCGGTAAGTGGGCTGGGCTTTCAAGGAGAGAGAGGGTGGTGGGGAGGGTGGTGGGGAAGGAGGAAAGAGGAGAGAAAATGGGAGAGAGAGGTGTGCAGAGGCACTTGGAGACCAAACATTGGGAGCAAGGGGACACTGAGAGAGCAGGCAAGGCAGAGGGAGAGAGATGGAAACTGAGGAACAGGTACTTACATCCGAAGAAAGGAGGAGTCCTGGAGCGAGTATGAGAGAGACAGAAAGAGGAAAAGAGATGGAGAATGAAGCATAATGAAGAGTGAGAGAGCCAGGGAGAGACCAACAGGCCACAGAGAGTCTATGGGAGTTAGACCCCCGTGGCTGGAAGGATGGAGGGAGACTTGTGCCCAGGGCGAGACCATGTATGAAGAGAAAGACATACTTGGGGTGGGCATGGGAATGTAGAGATGGAAAGAGAGCAACTAAAACAGAAAGAGGATGGAACACTTGAAAAAGAAGGAGAGACAAAGACAGAGAGAAGAAGATAAAGAAAAGGGAGACAAGGAAACAGAACAGAGAGGGAGAAGCGGACAGGTGTGCAGAGAGATGGAGAAACCTTTCTGTGTTGGTGAGGGGAGAGAGAAACGAGTAGGGCTCAGTGCACAGAATGTCTCAGGAAATGTCTGAGGAAAAGGTGATAGACAGCCCTGGCTGGTGTAGCTCAGTGGATTGAGCGCGGGCCTGCGAACCAGAGTATCACGGTTCGATTCCCAGTCAGGGCACATGCCTGGGTTGCAGGCCAGTTCCCCGCAGGGGACAGATGAGAGGCAACCACACATTGATGTTTCTCTCCCTCTCTTTCTCCTTCCCTTCCCCTCTCTTGAAAAATAAATAAAGAAAATATTTTAAAAAAAAAGGTGATAGACACATAGAAATCCTGAGTCTGCAAAACAGACGGAGAAGAATAAGGGAATATAATCCATGAAGAAGAGCCGCTAAGTAAATAGTCATGTGTTAGTTCACTGTGTGAGGTGCACAGAGGTCAAAGACAGGGAGAGGGCGAAGGAAGGACAGGTGATTGACAGAAGCTCGGTTTGCAGTAAGTGCTCACTAAATGCTTGCGGAATGATTGCATGGGTTCCAGAGAGACCCAGGCTGGTGACACAGGGAGATGCAAACAGTTGGCCACATTGGGAAGGGGCCACACAGCAGGAGAGGGACAGGCAGATGTAGTTGCACAGCATCTTGCCAGGACTAGGCAAAGAGATGACTAAAAATGTTGAATGAATGAACGAATGGTTGGGAAACCAAGAGTGAGCATGAGAGAGCCAGAGTCAGACAGAAATAGAGATTTAAAGACACATACACACCAGTAAAGAAATACAGAAAGACAGGTACACAGAGAGAGTCAAAGACAGGGAGAGACTCAGAGGCAGACAGATGGAGAACTAAGTGAGATGGAGGTTGAGGGAGGCGGAGACCGTGAGGTAGAAAGGCACTGTAATGAGGTCAGACCATGCCAGGTTTGGGGGGATGGGCCAGCAGTGAAGGGGGGCCTTCGAACCACCAGTCTCTCTCCGCAGAGGGGGGCAGTCTTGGGACAGACCCCAGCCTCCAGGGTGACTGGGTCCTCCTGGCCCCACAGGTCAGTGACACGGAGTTACTACCGAGGGGCAGCCGGAGCCCTGCTGGTGTATGACATTACCAGGTGGGTGTCTGAAATGGGTGGGGTGGGGCGGGGCCGGGGCAGCCTCCCTCCTGTGCCCACCTCCCTCTTTTTCCCTTCTCCACAGCCGGGAGACTTACAACTCCCTGGCTGCCTGGCTGACTGATGCCCGCACACTGGCCAGCCCCAACATCGTGGTCATCCTTTGTGGCAACAAGAAGGACCTGGACCCTGAGCGTGAGGTCACTTTCCTGGAGGCCTCCCGCTTTGCCCAGGAGAATGGTGAGAGCCATATGGTGGGCTTGCAGGGATGGAGGGCAGTCCACTGGGTCCATGGGCCTCCTGGCTCTCTATGGCTGTGCCCAGCAGGGGAATGTGGACGTTTAGAGGCGTGCGTTCAAATGCGTACCGTGTGACTGCTCTGGTCCTCAGTTTCCCCGACTAGAAAGTGGGGCTCACGATGTTTCTGTCTCTCATCCTGAGTGATGGGTAAGAGACATGGTTCATGCAAAGCCTTCAGCACCATTTGGATGGAGGAGGCACTTGATAATGATGCTGCTAAGAAGGTTTCACCCACTGTGGTGAGCCGCAGAGTATTGGTGTTAAGGTAGAGACTGCAAATTCTACTGGTCCTAAGGACAGGCACATTTTGTGAATAAGGAAGATAGGATGGGTTGACCTCAGGTTAGCAGGCACTGGCATTAGGGGAGTAGACAAGACTCACACTCATGTTAAAAGGTATGCAAGTGCAAACCTATTCAAAAACGTCATGTTGGCCAAATGTCTGCCTGCGTAGGGTCTGTCCACGTTCTTCGTTTGTGACCTCCAGGTTTAGAGGAGGTTTTGCTCTCAGAAAGATGTAGGTTTTGATCCTGGCTTTTAACTTACTCTGAGGCCTCGTCACATGACCGATGGGTGGACTTTGGTGGACCTACGCCTTGCTAGTTGGTGCCTAGGGGACAGCGATGAAGACAGTCTTGGGCCCAGCCCTCAGTCCAGTGGGGAATAGGTGGGCAGGCCCATTTCCAGACAGTGACAGCCCAGAGGGGTCAGGGTTGGCTGG